AGTAGGTGAAGGAGGTCGAGGAGTAGGAGGTCGAGGAGTAGGTGATGCGAGGCAGGTGTCTTGAGTATGATCAGAACCTGACACACCTGTTTGATGGGTCACGTGTCTTAACGTGCCAACCAGTCCTCCCACCAAGTAGTAAGTATGTCGCATTTCTTAACGGAATCCACCAATTCAACTCAAGTGTCTTTATTATGCACCCCATACCCATCTCGTGGGCGGTGGAGTAAAGGGTTACAGAGGCACATAATCGGTTCAGGAACTGAACCCTCTAGTTCGTTTAGCTAAGCAAATAATCTTTTGACGCTAGTTACACAATTATTAATGTTATTTATACATGTACACATTCTCATACATACATGTACCCATCAATCCCTTAATTTGACGGGTTATCTTCTTGAGGTTATCTTGAGATGATTTCGGGGCTTTTAGTGTCCCCGCGGCCCGGTCGTCGACCAGGCCTCCTGGTTGCCGGACTGATCAACCAGGCTGTTGGACGCGGCTGCTCGCAGCCTGACGTATGAGTCACAGCCTGGTTGATCAGGGATGCTGGTGCTTCTCCCACCGCCTCACCATCCTCCCTCACCAGTCTCCAGGCTAGGCAGTAGTTACTCTTGAGCTGGAATGTCATCTTGAGACACACACGCCCCCAACCCTCCTCCTCCCCCAACATAGCATATTGTTGTTGTTTTAGATTCAGCTACTTAGAACAAAAGTTCCAAAGTAGCACGGGTTATGGTGAGCCCGTAGTGGACTTACCTGGCACAGGAGCGGGGCTATAACTGCCCCAAACATAGCAACTCTCACAACAATTTCAAGCCCTACGCATCTACGACGACTTCCCCCCCCCCCCACCACCACCCCTCCTCCTGCTTAGTTAAGATACGCCGGGCAAGAATGTGGTCAAGATGACCAGGGGCCAGATTCACGAAGCAGTTACGCAAGCACTTACGAACGTGTACATCTTTCGTCAATCTTTGGCGGCTTTGGTTACATTTATTAAACAGTTTACAAGCATGAAAACTTCCCAATCAACTGTTGTTATTGTTATAAACAGCCTCCTGGTGCTTCAAGCTCATTAACTGTTGAACAATTGTAAACAAAGCCGCCAAATATTGAGAAAGGATGGACAGGTTCGTAAGTGCTTGAGTAACTGCTTCGTGAATCTGGCCCCAGGACCTTCCCTCCCCCCATCCCAGGTACCCACCGTAACATTAACCACCTTTACTCTCATTGTTTTATTTAATTACTGCTAATACCTTGAATTATGCGCTAAATTAAATGTTTAGGCCTACTCGTTAAGGCCAATCATAGTGTGATCAAGTCTTCTACGTTATGGTCACCCAAATGTATTTGTCCTAAATGTACTCCTCACTAGAGAGGAGACCAGAGAGATACCAATTAAAATACACCTGGAAGATACTGGAGGGCCAGGTCCCAAACCTACACAGTAAAATAACTACGTACTGGAGTGAACGATATGGAAGAAAATGCAGAATAGAACCAGTGAAGAGCAGAGGTGCCATAGGCACAATCAGAGAACACTGTATAAACATCAGAGGTCCACGGTTGTTCAACGTCCTCCCAGCGAGCATAAGAAATATTGCTGGAACAACCGTGGACATCTTGCTGTGGTGGATATTGGGACCTGTGGGCCGCTCTAAGCAACAGCCTAGTGGACCAAACTCTCACAAGTCGAG